ATACTTTTTGTTTTTCAATGATGAGGATCAAGTGTGGTGTGCATGCTAGGCAAGTGCTCTACCATTTGAGTGATGCCTCCAGTCCTTTAGGTTTGTTTGTGTGACAAAATTAAGGTTGGAACTCAGGGCCTTTTCTGTGGCTTGACTATTTTGCTCAAAGCTGGTAGTGTTGTACTACTAGAGCCACATCTCCACTTCCGGCTTTTTGTTTGTTAATTATAGATAAGAGTCTCAGGCACTTTGCTGCCAGGGCTGGCTTTGAACTGAAAGCCATAGATCTCAGCCTTTTGAGTAACTAGGATTATAGGGTGAGTCACTAGCTTATTGCTTTCTTTCTTTCTTTCTTTATTTTTTGGGTCCAATCGTGGGCCTGAACTCTGGGCCTGGGCACTATCCCTCAGCTCTTCAGCTCAAGGCTAGCACTCTACCACTTGAGCCACAGCGCCACTTCCGGCTTTTTTCCTTTTTGCTTATGTGATGCTGGGGAATCGAACCCAGGGCCTCATGCATGCAAGGCAAGCGCTCTACCACTGAGCTACCTTCCCAGCCCTTGATATAGGATGCTGTTCCCTTGCCTAGGCTGATTCTCCATCTTCCTGCTTCTGCTTCCTAAGTGGCTGTTTACAACCACACCAGCTAATAATAGTTTGTTGAACAAATAAGTGAGTGCATATGAATTTCAGAGATCTTGTCAAATAACAACAAAAAACGATTATTATAATGCTTTTATTCCCAATTATATAATTAATAGTGATAATAATACAATAATTTTAGAACTTACCTATATGTAAATGGTGCAGAAATCACCGAATCATGGGAGAAAAGGTGAAATCAGATGTGAGATGTACATAACAAATTAAGGAAAAAGCTGGAAAGTTCTGATTGGTTGGGGCAAGTGACTTAACCTGAAATCTCAATTTTATACTGTAATGACCGCACTATCCTGAGGATTGAGAGAAGGTCTCTCATTGTGTTTTAGCTGTAAGATGATCATTAGTGTTGGTGTTACTGATAGTCTTTCTGTTCTTCAGACCAGCCAATCAGATGGCTTTTGTGAAGTCATATTCTTTGGACCTGGTGAATGATGTTTGATAGGAGTTTCAGGGCTTCCTCTTGTTTAGGAAAAACACAAAGATCATCAAATACCCCCTTGGAAGATGCAAATACCTTTTTGTTGTGTGATTAAGCTTCTCCTCTTGGCCTGGTAAATTAAAATTTTCAGCCTTCTGATGGGGCAAAATACTTGAATTTTACTTTATAATGATAACTGAACATAAGGTAATACCTTAGGGTAATTGGAGGGTAAGTATAACCTAGATTGTGGTGCACATTTAGGGAACTAGGAGAGATTCATATTTATGTGGTCCCAGGAGTAACAAAATTCCATAATTTTGATGATTTTGAATACTAAAAGTTTTGATGATTTTGAACCTTTAGAGTTAGCAGTGCCTTACTGAAATAAAATGATGGAGTCAAAAGAGGTACAGCCTATATGATATGGATATCCAGGAAATATCGCCTCATATCTCTTCCCATTTGCTTTATGAAGTAGGGAAAGCTGGTCACAAATTGACTTGATTCAGGTTTTCTTTTCTTCCATGATACCACCACAGCTCACCAGTAACCTGTAAATTCTTTATTGTTTCCATGTATGAGTTCACATCTTGTGTGTGTGTGTGTGTGTGTGTGTGTGTGTGTGTGTGTGTGTGTGTGTGTGTGTGTGTGCGCTTGCCAATACTGGGGCTTGAACTTAAGGCCTGATTCCTTAGCTTTTTCACTTAAGGCTGGTGCTCTAACACTTGAGCCACACAGCTACTTCTGGTTAACTGGAGAAAAAAGTCTGACAGACTATCCTGCCCAGGCTGACTTTGAACCTTGATGCTCAGATCTCAGCCTCCTGTGTAGGTAGGATTGCAGGCCTGCTCAACCACAGCTAACGGTGGCCTCACATTCTACCAAAATAAGTTTTGCATGTGCAGGTAGCATTTTGTAAACTATAATAAGCTGGAGATAATTTATAACTTTTTCTTTAAAAAAAGAAATAGCTATTTTTTGGGAGGGTGGGTAAATGGGGAGGGGGTCACCTCCAACAGTTTCCTCTGATTTAATTACTTGCTTTATTAGATTTATGTAGTTCAGATCTTCATTTGATCTTAGCCCAGTCTATTTTGTGAGAGTTACAAAATTAATTGTTAAAAACTCTATGTAAGTGCTTTTTTATTAGTCACAAGAGACTGACTATAGTACAGTGATATGTAAGTTATTTCTAAACTCTTATATTCAAGTAGTGTTTTCTACTTATTTATTTATTGTTGGCACTGAAGCTTCAATTTAAATACCGGGCACTATCCCTTAGCCTTTTTCCTCAAGGCTGGAACTCTACCACTTGAGCCACACCTCCACTGCCAGCTTTTTGCTGATTAATTGGAGATAGGAGTCTTTTGGACTTTTTTGCTTGGGCTGGCTTCAAACCTTGAACCTCAGATCTCAGTCTCCTGTACAGCTAGGATTACAGGAGGGAATCTCACCAGTGCTTACTTTTGAAAGAATGTTTAAAACATAGTCTCAATACTTAGTATGAATTCACAAAAGGTCTATACAAAATATAGTACTTTGTAACAAAAATGTGAAAATGTCAGGAGTGCAAGGAATATTAGAAACATCCTAACTCTATTGTGGGAGAATCTTCAAATGACAATATGTTTAGAAGAATGTAAGCTGCTGTGGCATGGTCATAAAATTATGGATTTATGCCCAGCTTAGGTATTGCTATTTGTGAGATAAGCAATATAAAATAAGGAAATAAAAATAAGATCATATCTGGGCACCAGTGATTTTCTCCTGTAATCTTTGTGACTCAGGATGCTGAAATCTGAGAATCGAGTTTTGAAATAAGCTCAGGCAGGAAAGTTTGTGGGATTCATATCTCCAGTTAGCCACAAAAAAGCTGGAAGTGGAGCTGTGGCTCAAGTAGTATAGCACCTTAAGTGAAAAAGCTGAAGGAGCGTACCCAGACTGTAAATTCAAGCTTCAGTACCAGCACCAAAGGGTGGGGAAAAGGTTATGATGTTGATTTAATTTGGGGATATGGTGTTCCATGCTCAGTAAAGCAAGAACATTCCCCCCTCTAGAATGTTATGTTATCTTAATTACTTTAACTATCTTTGAGGTTTAGATAAGCACAGAGAAAAAAATCAATACCTTATTTATTTAAGCAGACATATTTGGATGGTGAGCTTGTCGGTGCTGCTGAGTTACTTTTAAAGGTGGAGCTTCAGTATAGTTATGCAATGAAGAGCTGGAAAAATTTTGTAGTTACACTTTATGCTTTTATTTTGAGAGCCACAACATCATTCTCTGAATAGGTTTAAACATTCATTATATACGAATACTACTTTTGTTATTATTTAAATATGAGATGTTGATCAGGTACCACTGGCTCATGCCTGTAATCCTAGCTACTCAGGAGGCTGAGATCTGAGGATTGTGGTTCAAAGCCAGCCTGAGTAGCAAGGTCTGTGAGACTTTAGTTCATCACCAAAAAGCTGGAAGTGGATCTGTGCCTCAAGTGGTTGAGCACCAACCTTGAGAGAAAAAAAGTAAGGAAAAGCACCCAGACCTTGAGTTCAAGCTTTAGTATCAGCACAAATAAACACACAAATAAATAAAAAGAGATGTTTATTTCTCACAGCTCTAGAGGCTGGGAAGTTCAATATCAAGATACCTATATACAAATATTTAATTTCACATGTGTAAAAGAGAAATAAATTGTTTCTCCAATGTACTCTCAGTGTTATTTGAATATATATTTATATATATTCATTTGTCCTATCACTTCTAAGAATGTATATGTAGATACTAGCTTTTAGTGGGCAGGGGTTGGGGAGAGGAGATTGGTATAGGAGTTTTGAACTCAAAGTTCTGTGCTAACATGACTTGCTTGCTCAGCTGGCACTCTACTCCTTGAGCCAAGCCTCTAGCTCAGCTTTTGGTTGACTGCCCAGCTTTTGGTTGGTAATTTCTGGAGGTGAGTTTTGAAATGCTTTTTTTTTTTTATTTCCTTGGCTTGCTTAGAACTACAAGCCCTGGATCTCAGTTTCCTACGTAGCTAGGATTTTAAGCATGAAGCTACCAGAGCCCAGGGGAATACTAGTTGTTTTTTTTTAATCTCTTTTAAATAAAATGTTTTAGTTATTTATATGTCATGTTGGTAAGTGGTTTTGCTTGATTGGGGTTCTTTGAGACAGGATTTCACTGCGTTACCCAGGCTGGGATCTTCTTGTCAGAATAGTCAAGACTAAAGGTGCATGCAATCTAGCTGGCTCTTAATATGATAAGAAATAATTTAGGTGGGAATTCAGTTATTTATTTTTTGTGCCAGTCCTGGGGCTTGAACTCTGGGCCTGAGTGCTATCCTTGAGCCTCTTTGTGTTCAGGGCTAGTGCTCTACCACTTGAGCTGCAGCTCCACTTCTGGCCCTTTTTGCAATTTATTGGAGTCTTATGGACTTTCCTCCCTGGGCTGGCTTTGAACAATGATCCTTAAATCTCAGCTTCCTAAGTAGCTAGGATTATAGGCATGAGCCACCTGTGCCTGGCTTCAATTCTTTTTAGGAAATACTTTCCCTTTCTTTTTGTGTGCTAATACTGGGGCTAAAACTGAGGGGCTTGAGCTCTTACTTGGCTTATTCACTCAAGCCTGGCACTTTATCAGCTGAGCTACACTGATACTTCCTTCTTTTTGCTGGTTAATTAGAGATAAGAGTCTTATGGACTTTCCTGCCTTGGCTGGCTTTGGATTGCGATCTTCAGATCTCAGCTTCCTGAGTAGCTAAGATTATAGGGGGTGAACCACACCGGTGCCTCACTAAGCAATAGTTTCTAATACAGAAAATGCTTCTTTAACTGGTGTGAAGTTGTGCAAGTCCCCAGGGACGCTGAGACTCTGACAATGTGATCTGTGACTAACCTGTTTTATGCCTTCTGGTGTTTATTTTGCAGGCATTCTGGAGTTTATCAGTATAGCAGTGGGCCTGGTCAGCATTCGAGGCGTGGACAGTGGACTCTACCTCGGGATGAATGAGAAGGGGGAGCTATATGGATCAGTAAGTACCAGAAGAGACAATTTCCACATTCCATGTTTGATTTGAGCTGCAGTCCTCTCCCTTCCCTTCTCTTCCCTGCTCTGCTCTTTCCCTCCCTCCCTCCCTCCCTTCCTTCTTTCCTTCCTTCCTTCCTTCCTTCCTTCCTTCCTTCCTTCCTTCCTTCCTTCCTTCCTTCCTCCCTTCTTCCTCCTCTCCCTCCTCCTTCTTCCTCCTCCTCTCCTTTCCCTTCCCCTTCCCCCCTCCTCCTCTTCCTTCTCCTCCTCCTCCCTTCTCCTGCAGCTCCTCATTCTCTTCCTTCTCCTCCTTCTTTTCCTATTCCTTTTCTTCCTCTTGCCCCTTCTCTTCTTTCTTTTTTGGTGCTAGTACTGGGGCTTGAAGTTAGGCTTTTGCTTGGCTTTTTTGCTCAAGGCTGATTCCTTATTCCTTGGGCCACACCTCTACTTCCAGCTTTTTGTTGGTTAACTGGAGATACATTTCTCATAAACTTTCCTTCCTGGGCTGGCTTCAAGGTGGGATCCTCAGGTCTCAGCTTTCTGAGTAGCTAGGATTACAGGCATCAGGCACATGCCTAGCTCTTAAACTTCATTTAAGGCTGGCAATAAAACCAAGTCAGTCTGGAAAGGCAAATGTTAAGTTTTTACTTTTCAAAGCAAGCAAGCCATTTCATTTTTATTAATAGAACCTCAGTTCTGCATTTTCACTAGACCAAAGTCGTTAAGAAAATGGTTTATTTATGTGCCAAACCATCTTCATTATCAAGTAAATAAAAAAATTCACCAGTGTGAAAAAAATCCCCATCTTCTTGTATTGAATGAGAGTTATTTTTGAAATGAATCAAAATGATCTCCCAAGCTTTGCCAAGCATTGTAATTAAAACTAGAAATAGACCATGCAGTGAGTCTAAATCCTTTTTCTAAATGACACAAGATTTTTCATTATGCAGGGAGGGAAGGGAGATGGAAATTATTGTCAGATATTCTTGTATGCGAATAAGGATATAGCAGCATTGTAATTATTTGCTAGCATGCTGATTTTTTCCCCCTTCTATCTAACTTCCCATCCCCACGAAGTTGGGAAGTCCTTAGGTTAAACATTGACAGAGCATTTATGCTGCCTGGCCAGGTTTCAGGCATGGTGGTAGATGCTGTGCTGTATTTGTGAATGGGATAAAGTCTATTCCTGCTCTCCAAGGAGGTGAGAGGTTTACATTTTCACCTGTTTATGCTTCTAGGAGTGCAGTGTTCAAATCATACTGTATGAGACACAGTACAGATAGAGTCAATGCTTGCTAAATTATTAGGCAAATAATTAGTATATACTGTGGACCCTTCGTATGCACAAGTAAATGGCTCTCAGCAGCAGCCATGGTGGATGAATGCAGGATACATGGCATTCAGAGCTTTGTGTACTTCCTCTTCCTCTTCCTCCTTCTTCTTCTTCTTTGGTCAGTTGTGGGTCTTGGACTCTGGGCCTTGATGCTGTCCCTCAGCTCTTTAGCTCAAGGCTAGCACTCTACCACTTGAGCCACAGAGCCATTTCCAGTTTTCTGGTAGTTTATTGGAGATAAAAGTCTTACAGACTTTCCTGCTTGGGCTGGCTTTGAAAGTGTGATCCTCAGATCTCTGCCTCCTGAGTAGCTAGGATTACAGTGGCAGTGGCAGTGGCACCCAGCCCTAAGCTTCTTGTTACTCAAGTCTAGCACTGTACAACTTGAGCCACAGCTCTACTTCTGGCTTTTTGTGGTTAATTGCAGGTAAGTGTCTCATGGACTTTCTTACTCTGCTAGCTTCTAACTGTGATCCTCAGCTCTCAGCCTCCTGAGCCACTGGTACCCAACCTTGATTAATTTTTCTTATAACAACACTCAACCCCTGCTAAAGACATACATACGGCTTCAAAAAGATCTGTTTCCCTGCTCAGTTCCTTAAACTAAGCACAAAAACTTTCACCTTGTTTTTTTTTTGGGGGGGGGAGGCGGGGACCATTTGCTTTTTGGGAGATATACTTTCCCCCCAAAATTAAGGGCAGGGGAATACTCAGCAGGTCATACAACATTTTAAATTCAACAGCTGATAAGTGTGGGGACTAGAAGTTTTTTTCCACACCCACTCTGTTGTGTAATGTGTGTGCAAGAATTTAAATGTTTTCTTTTAAAATTTCTTATGGTTCAAAAGTATTTATTATTCATTTCTCTTTCTTTTTATGGTTCTTGGTTAAAACCACGTGAAATAAGTGTGCGAATAAGGAAAGCTTATTGTGTTAATGTGGTCAAACAGTAGAATTTGTAATAAAATTAACTTCAGATTTTTATTATCATTATTGGCAATCATGTGAAATTTAATCCATGTTATCTACAAAATGAGAACTTTGATTTAAGCCTACAGAATGTTCAAAATAAAAACATTAGACTGGGAAAAGTTCTGGAGTTTTCAGTTGGTAGATATATAAAGCAAAAAGTTTTCTAGCTGTTTTCCTTTCTTATCCATATAGTAGTTTAAAAAATATATACACATGAGCTAGTCTAGGCATTGGTGGCTCACACCTGTAATCCTAGCTACTCAGGAGGCTGAGATCTGAGGATGGCAGTTCAAAGCCAGCTGGGGCAGAAAAGTGCCCATGAGACTTTTATTGCCAATAAACTACTCAAAAAAGCTGAAAGTGATGCTGTGGCTCATGTGGGAGGGCACTAGCCTTGAACACAAAGAGACTCAGACTCAGGGACAGTGCCCAGACCCTGAGTTCAAGCCCCAGGACTAGCAAACATACACACACACACACACACACACACACACACACACACACACACACACACACACACACACACACACAGAGTACAGTTGCACTCAACTACTTCAAGTGACAGGAAAAAGATAGCTTGTTTAATTTGAATATAAAATACAACATTGGTAGGCACTGGTGGCTTATGCCTGTAATTCTAGCTTTTCAGGAGGTTGAGATCTAGAGGACTGAGGTTTGAAGTCAGCCCCAGCAGAAAGACTGTGAGACTCTACTGCAAAATAACCAGCAAAAAGCAGAGCTGGAGGTGTGGGTCAAATGGTAAAGTGCCAATGGTGAGCATGAAAACTGAGGCCCCAGAGTTCTAACATCAATACCAATGAACAAGAAAAACAAAAACATTGCTGTTTTTGTTTTTTTTTTTTTCCTTCCTATGCTAGGGTTTGAATTTGGCCTGTACTTACTCAGCTTGCTTGCTCATGGTGGATGCACTACCACTTATACCATGCCTCCAACCCTGATACTTTTTGCTGGTTCTTTTGGAAATGGAGTATAGTGAACTTTTCTGCCCTGGCTGGCTTCAATCCAGGGCAGATCTTCTGGATCTCAGCCTCCCAAGTAACTAGGATTACAGAGGTGAGCCAGTGGCATTAGGCTAAGACAGCATTTTTTTTTCTCTCTACTCAACATGTTCATGATATGTACAATGCTTCTCGATCACTTCTCTCATTCATCCCCCTCATCCATCCCAGCCGCACCCTGAAGTTTTCTAGTTCCATTTCACATATGTACATTGAGTGTTAGGAGCATATTCACCCCTTGTTCCTCTTTCCATCAACTACCCACCTCTCTTTGTTACCCCCCTCGTCCCCTCAGGCAAGGTATGGTTCAACTTCCTAGTAGTCATTTAGTTAAAATGCTTGTTAATTATACCAGGGACCTATAGCGTGGAAATCTACTTCATATTACCATAGTCAGTTCTGTTGTGCGTATATGCAGATGGCCCTGTATGTGTTTGCATATATGTCTATTTTTAGATCTAACTTCCACATATGAAAGAAAACATGTACCCTTTGTCTTTCTGTGCCTAATTTATTTCACTCAACACAATTTTTTTCCAGAGCCTTCCATTTCCATGTAAATAACCTATTATTCTTCCTAATGGATGAATAAAATTCCATTATGTGTTTATACATATTATGCATATACATGTCATATGTTTACATATTATATGAACCATATGTCTATATGTAATACCTAGTATAATATATGCGTGTATATATAATATCACATTTTTGATCCATAGTTTCATGTAGGGCATCTGAGCTGTTTCCATAACTTGGCTATGGTAAATAGTGCCTCAGTGAATGCGGATGTACAGATGTCTTTATTGTATCTTAACTTGCAATCTTTTAAATAATTATCCAGGTGGTATGACTGGATCAGAGTCATTCTGTGTTTAGATTTTTTGAGGAATCTCTGTACTACTGCCTTCCATACTAGTAGCATTAATTCACATTCCCATGAACAGGGGAATAGGTTCCCCCCATCCCCAGTCCAGCATTTGTTGTTTTGTATTCTTGATGATAGTCATTCTGACTGGAATGAAGTGGGATCCCTATGCTGTTTTGATTCACATTCCCTTTATGCCTAAGGAGGTAAAAGTCTGTGGGTTTTGGTGTTTATTTATTTATTTTTGGTTGTGGGCTTAAAGTCAAGGCCTAAATGCTGTCCCTGAGCTTTGTGGCTCAAGGCTAGTGCTCTACCACTTTGAGCCAAGCTCCACTTCTGATTTTGTGGTGATTAATTGGAGATGGTCTCACATACTTTCCTGCCCTGGCTGGTTTTGAACTGTGATCCTGAGTAGTTAGAATTACAGGCATAAGCCACTAGTGCTTGGCTAGAAATGTGTGTGTGTGTGTGTGTGTATGTGTGTGTCAGTTGTGGGGCTTGAGCCCAGGGCCTGGGTGCTGTCCCTGAGCCTCTTTGTGCTTAAGGCTAGTGCACTACCACTTGAGCCACAGCACCACTTCAGTTTTTGAGTGATTAATTAAAGAGTTTCATGGGGATTTTTCTACCTGGGCTGGCTTCAAATCACAATCCTCAGACCTCACTCAGCCTTCTTAGTAGCTAGAATTACAGGTATGAGCCACCAGCACTCAGCAGATTATTTTTTTTTAAGTGTAAGGATGGACTTTTTAAAAAAGTCTTTTGAGGACTACAAATTATAAAGTAAAAGCAGATCACTACATAGAAATCTAGTA